CAGGGAATGGAGGAAGCCTACGCACCTGGGGGCCAGGGAGCTTGAGAGCTGCATTCCCCATCTCTGCAGCGGAGCTGCTGGGAGCCACGCTGGAGACGTGGGTGTCTCAGCTGCGCAGAGCTGACCCCGTGCAGAAGGGATCCAGGGCCTTGTCTCCTGTGGGAGAACCGGGGAAAAGCTGCAGTGGGAACATTATTAAACATATATCTGTTCCGTTTGTCCAGCCCTAACGAGTCATGTAGTGAAGTCATTTGAAATTCTCTCCTTAGCTTCTTCGAAGACTTAGAGAAGCGACACCAGGAAAACCTCCTAATTCCTGACATCAGTGACATAGTGGAAGAACATGCCTCGAACCACTTCAATCCTTACGTCAGCTACTGCTCCAATGAAGTCTACCAGCAGAGGACACTTCAGAAGCTGCTGTGAGTACTGCTGTGCACTCAGGCCTTGGGCTTGCAGAGGAGCTGCTTACAAGGGGTAAGCCCTGAACTCTGGGCTACAGGGATGCCAGCTGGCTGCGGACAGGACCGTGACTTGCAGGTGGCTCCCTCAGCCTGTGGTTACATCCTTTTCCCTAAGGAAGGCTGTCTCCTTTCTGCGCAGAGTTCAACTTCTAGACCTCAGTGTGTCTGTGTCGTGTGATTAGGATGTGATTTGTGTTGTGCTGTGAGAAGGGTGAAGGACGGGGGTAAGTGGGGGTAATGCTACCACATACTGAAGTCAGGCAGGTCTTGCCAAGGTCAGAACATGTATGGGATGTATTAGGGACATCTGCGGAGGCTGTTCATCTCCAGATCATACTGGTGGTACAGGTCAAGTTTGTCTCTGCTGGTGGTACATCTACGGCTTTACCCGCCTTTTGGTGAACTCAACATCTCCAGGTGCTTTTCCATCACCTGCTAACGGATCAGTCCATTTTCCGCCCCAGCTGTGTGCTCAGAGCTCAGCAGACTGGCCTTGAGCACCAGAGGCAGTGCCATTGCTGTGCTGCATTTCTCGTGCATGGAAAGCTACTGGAAAATCTTGCTAACTGAAGAACAGCGTTAATGGCGATTTCTTGTCCTGTTCCAGAACCACAAACCCCTTATTTAAAGAGACCTTGAAACAAATTGAAAGGAAACCAGAATGTGGAGGCCTGCCAATGATATCATTTCTCATTCTCCCTATGCAGAGAGTAACACGGCTTCCTCTGCTGTTAGATGTAAGTAAGTCACACAGTGGCATTGCTTGGCACCTCTGAAGAGGTGACTGTTATTCTCTTCTTCGGTTTGCTGAGCCCGGGACAGGCTTCTGCTTAGACTTTCATCCCTCTGGGAGCCGAGGCTGGGATGCCCGAGCCTTTATTCAGGATTTAGATCCAGAGCGATCTGCTTCTTGTGGGTGTCAGATGTGCAGCTTAAAGCTTTGTGAATAACGCTTCTCATCTCAGCGCCATCCACCTGAGTGACATGAGGTTCTTCCATGCTCCGTGCTGCGTCTGAATACCCAGGGTGGGGTGGCACGAGCGTCCTGTTTCATTAATGGTCAGGTGGCCCAGGAAGGGAAAGCAGGTCTTGCACAAGCTTCACTGAAATCCGGGACTTCTGGATCCAGCTGCTCTAAACAGCAAAGCTGATGGACGTGGGATTTCTAGTAACTGCTCCCAGTCTGTAACGAGCTGCAGGGGTGAGGGTCAGGGGGATGCCCGGTGTGCGGGGTGACAGTGATGCTCAGGCACGTATCTGATGTGAAAACCCCGGCAGAAACCAGATTCTCAGCTACCAGCACTGTTAAACCTTGCTTTGACTGTGTGCCTGTCCTGCTGCCAGGCTGACCGTTGGGAACGGCTCGAGCATGTGTGTCATCCTGAAATCCCAGGTTGATGCGCAGTTCTGTGTCTTGCAATATCACTAAAGCGTCTTATCTTGGCATTCTAGACTGTCTGTCAAAAAACAAAAGCATGCACTGCAGCGTATGGAGCTGCCACCAGAGCTCTGAAAGCCATCAGCAAGGTGAGGCCCGGCTGCCAGCTCTCCACCTCTCCTCCTTCCAGCACACCGTCCCGTCACTCTGGCCCTGAGCCTGCCGTTCTGGCCTCTGGTTTTCCTTCTTGTGTCGGTTCACTTGAAATTTCTCTGCTCCAAATAACTGCTGGATGTACACATCTTCTCCCTTGTTCACCTTTTTCACCTGATCTTTTTTTTCCTTTTTGTTGTCATCTTTTCTTCTTTCCTCTTTTGCCCATCTTTTGTCCTTCCCTTCGGTGTCGTCTTCTCCATTAGTGCTCTCCCTTCTCAGAACCTCCCTCGAGGTGATAGCGAGCTGCGACACTTACTTGCCTCGGTTGTTGGAGATTTAGGCAAAGAGCAGTAAACAAAGCAAAGAGAAAGGGTAGAGGAGCAAAGGAACAGTGGGACCAGTGGCACTTGTGAGCCGTGCGCTGTTTGTGCTCCCGTGTCTCATCTGCCTTCCCATCTGGTTGACATTCACACAAGGTGATGCGCCATGGAGATTACGGCCACCAAAGCGGCGGTGGTGGCTCTTCCTTTTGTCCCCCTAAAGACCGACTCTTGGCAACGCGCTCCTGCTGCTCGTGATCTGTCCCGCTCGCTCATCCGGCAGGGGAACAGAATGCACGACCCCCCGGCCGGGCCACGCTGGACCGCCCTTCCCCGGGTTGGAGGGGCATCAGGCAGGGGCGCATCTGCTTGGGAGAGACAACGCGGGGGGCCAGGGTGCCACGCAGCTGCCCAGTGCGAAATGTGGCGTTGCTTCACCTGCCTGTGGAAAGCTGCTGTCCTCCCCTCTAACTGTTCAATCGTTCATCTTCCTGTCTTAACCTCCTCCCTTCAGATGATTAATTCTTTCTCTTCGTATTGCTCCTCGGTGAAGCTTGGTTTTGGCGCGGTTTCACTTTGGTCCTTCTCCAGGCAGAGGAAACATGCTGCCTCTCTCCTGGAGATCTCTCATGGCAGGAGACCCTCCAGCTGCCTTTCCCCAAACCTGGCTTGAAACCTCTGTTGGGACTTGGCTTCCCTTGTGGTGTTTTTTCTTTTTCTAGCTGGTTAAGAACTGCAATGAGGGAGCTCGTGCTATGGAGAGGACAGAGCAGATGTACACCCTGCAGAAACAGCTGGAATTTGGAAAGAAGAAGGTGAGGACTTGTGGCAGTGGCAGACAAAAAAATCTTTTGGGTGTGCTGTTAGAGTGGCCCATCCCAGGCGTGGTGGGCCTGTCCTGGGACTCCTTCCAGGAAGCCTCGACCAGCTGGAGCATCGCTGCTGCCACAAGCAGCATCGCTACTTCATGCCCAAGGTGACCATTTTTTCCTGCTGTTCTGACTTAAATATAAGTTTCTGGGCACTCGCCCTGCCAGCTTGGAGGGTTC